GAGCATCTTGTCATGTGCTTGTGGCCATTTGTGTGACTTCTTTGGAGAAATGTCTACTCAAATCCTTTGCCCATTTTTAAAGTAGTCTTTTTATTATTGAGTTGCAAGGGTTCTTTATATTTTCCAGAGTTGTTTATCAGATGCATGCAAAATTTTTCTCCCATTCTGTTGTCTGTCTTTTCACTTTGTTGATAAAGTCCAATTTATATATTATTTTCTTTTGTAGCGTATGTTTTTGGTGTCATATCTAAGAAACCATTTCCTAATCTAGAGTCACCAAGATTTATGCCTGTGTTTTCCTGTAAGAGCTTCAAAGTTTTGGATCTTACATATAGGTCTGCTCCATGTGTTAGTTTTGGTATATGATGTGAGATAGGGTTCCAGCTTCTTTCTTTTGCATGTGGATTTCCAGTTGTCCTAGCATCATTTGTTAAAAAGACTAATCTTTCCCTGTTGAATTATCTTGTCATCCTTGTTGAAAATCAATTGACCATAAATATAAGGGTTTATTTCTTGACTGTCAATTCTATTCCATTTGTCTATATGTCTGTCTTTATGCCAGTACCACACAATCTTGATTACTGTAGATTTGTAGTAAATTTGAAATACAGCTTTGTTCTTTTTTTTCAAGATTGTTTTGGCTAATCCGGGTCCCTTGAATTTCCATATAAATTTTAGGATCAGCTTGTCAGTTTCTGCAAAGACACCAGCTGGAATTTTGATAGAGATTACCCTGAATCTGTAGATCGCTAAGGGGGTTTGCCATCTTAACAATATTGTCTTCAAATCTATGAACATAGTATGTTTTTCCATTTATTTAGGTCTTCTTTCAACAATGTTTTATAGTTTTTAGAGTATAGGTTTTGCATGTCTTTTGTTAAATTTATTCTTTCGTATTTTATTCTTTTTGAGGCTATTGTAAAGAATTGTTTTTCTTAATTTCATTTTTGGGTTGCTCATTTCCAGTGTATAGAAATACAGTTGATTTGTGTATATTAATCTTGTATCTTGTGTATTAATCTTGTAATCTTGTGTATTAATCTTGCTGGACTCATTTATTAGTTTTAGTAGTTTTTTAGTGTATTCCTTAAGACTTTCTTTACACAAGATCACCTCATCTGTGATCCAGCTTTTAAAAATCACAACTCTTTCCACTACAACCATACTCTGTAGCTTGGGAAATTTACTAAATTAGAGGAAATTAGTTGACTTTTTAAGGTTATATTTAGGAAAGAAACAATTGCTACTTTGTAATTGTCTTGTCATCATCTTAAAAAAAAAAAAAAAGGCAGACTTTTAGGGTGGAACATTTGTGGAGAAAGCAAAGTCCCACAAATAAACTCAAAGGTTCCTTGAGCTTATTTGGTGAAGTCTTGCTTTAAATAATAGCACCATTATTTGGTGATATTATGGGAACCATAGGCCTTCTAAACATAGTTTATTTGGCACAGACTGAAATAACTGTGATTATACTTTACGAGATAAGCATTCTAATTTGTTTTTAGTTTCAGGAGGAGTGACTGAACTAAGAAAAATATGACTTTAAGTATCCAAAATATATATCTAGTGCTTCGTTTGTACTCCAGTGCTAATTCGGTTTTGCTTCTTTGCCTATAAGACCTCAGCCAGGGGGTAAGATTTTAAGACCTTATGTTTTAGACTAGGAGAGACCTTCTTCTAATTCTTTCTAAGTTAACTATAAATCTGCCAAGTGATGCTTATTTGAAAGCTATCAGCTGGTGAGTTATGAGTTCTAGTTATATATGTAGCTATATATATAATTCACTGAACCAAATAAGTAACCTAAAAGCCTAGAACATTTTGGGTTTCCTCTTTCCTCTCCAGGACTACGGTTAGATTTGGAAAGGTCAGAGAATGGTAAAGGTTTAGTGACAGGATGTCCCTAAGGTTGACTTCTGGTGTCTTTCATGGTAAAGCTCATGGAATTTCTTATGGGAGCCAGAGTGTAGAGCAGAATTTGAAAATTGCTTTGGTTTTTAGTTTCTGACTTTCCAGCTATAAGATGGGAGGAGTGCTCTCACTTCTCGTTGCTTCACAAGGCGTGGAAAAATCTTAACCAATCAAATGTTGAGTGAGAAAGCTATTTGTGCCTCCTAAAGGGAGAAAAGAATATTAACCTGAGGTGATGTTACAATGTCTTCCGAAGTGAGGGGAGAAATTCCAGGAACCCATTGTGACTATTGGGCTTATCCATGTTGTTTCTATTCATGAACCTACAGAAAAATGTAGACACCAAGCATTTCAGAAAATGAATGCTCCAGAATGACTTATTAGAAGTATTGGTAGTTTTCCTCTTTACCAATAATCCTCCTTCTCTCTTACACATATCATTTAGTTTGTCCAATTAGAATGGCTTGGCAATCTTATGGTAATTGAGTACATAAATGTCTGCTAGGTAAGTTAGGAGAGGGAAAAATAAATTTTGTAGAAATTGTACCAAGTGGTGAAAAAAACTCCAAGTCTTTTTTTCTGCAGAGTCCTATGACCAACTGTTCTTCCCATAGCAACTTTTTCTTCACCATAAATGTAGCATCAAGTCCTTGGGGTTTAAAAATAATAATTTTTGCTGCTGACAAGTGATGCCAATGTCTGTAACTTTCAGGAGCAGGATCTGTCATGTCTTGGTGACCCCAGGTAGCTTTGGTCCAAAGCCCTCTAATTGGACCCTTAGTTCATTTCAAAAGAAATGAACCCTTCTTCATGTTGTTGCTCTCCACTGAAAAACTCCCTCATAGACCCATCTAAATAAATCCTAGACAGCCTTTAGGACCCAGGTCAAGTTTTATCTTCTCCAAGAATCCTTTTTCTTCTGCTTCTGTTAAGTGCCTTCCTCCTTAAACTTCTGTTTCCTTGCCATGAGGAACTCCTGAAGTTTAGCCACTAGTACAGTATACTGTTTGGCTCTATTGTTTAATTATTTCTGATGGATTAGACTTGGATACAGCACCATGTCTTCTACCACCCTTCCCCTTCCCATAGGGCTTAGTACAGTGCTCATAAGCTAGGCTACTTACAAGTTGATAGCTAGCTAGCTAAGAACTGGCATTCTTGCAATAGCCAGTTTGTTAGAACAGCTAAGAACTGATAATGGGGCCACATTCTCGGAGTCATGTAGTTTGTAAACTGTCCAGGTCCAGGGAGCACCAGTCAAATAGGCCATGAAGTGAATGTCATGCAGTGGATTGTACAGCATGGTAGCCCTGCGTGTTGTCTTAGTTTACAAGCGGCCCGTGTTTATACATTACTGCATTACGTTGGCTGGTCTGGAGGATCTTTCCTACTTCCTTCCTTTCAGATTTTTGCCTGTTTCAGTCGAAAGTTAAAAAATAATAAGGAGTGAATCGAACCCTTTCGTAACTCTTTAGGACAATATTTTTCAAAATGAGATCCTCGACCTTTGTGTCAGAAAAACCTGAAATGCTGGTTAACATGCAGATTCTTCAGCCCCTCAATAGACTTGAATCAGCCTAGGAGTGGGGCTGGAGGCTTTAATAAGCAAGACTGATGATTCTTATGTGCTTCACTAAAATCTTAGGAAATGATTGTTGAAATAGCTTCTCAGTAAGGTGGAAACTACAGTGCCTCAAAGGGTGAATACCACTGTCCTTAACCTGTTGCCTGTTGTCAACCCTTTCTGATGTATGTAAATTCAGCCACTACTTAGTAAGTAGTTAGTTGCTCTCTGCCCGCCAGCATGCCTGCCATATTGGGAGAAGCACATGTCTAAAATATGGTCTTGGCTCTCAAGGTGCTGATAATCTATGTGGAAAGAAAAGATATACAATAAATATGTGTACTTACACATATTTGCAAACATATACTGTAGAGAGATGTTTTTAAAAAACATTATTATTAAGAGTACAAGTCTATAGGATTGACAGTTTGTAGAGCTGAGATATGTCTTTGGGATCACATATGGCTCTATACTTCAGAGTGACTAGATTTCAGTACTTCAGGTGGGCATTTGCATGAGAGACAAGCTCTATGGAATAGTGGAAAAGGCTCTAGACGTAGTGTTCAAAGGACACATTTTGGAATTCAAGTCAGAGCTCTAGTAAGCAGCGAATGTTAGTTACTTTAATTATAGGAAAAATAAGATTGTTGGTTGGGGTGAGGGACATCTTAAATTCATTCACTAATTTTTGAGTAACTTAAATTTGTATATATATTTACAGTTTTAGGCCATATAAATATTAAAATGGAAATAAGTGCCTTAGCTTGATATGCCAATATTTGGTTAATATCTTCTGTTATTCTATGGGACATTGAGGGAGAGGTCAAGAAAAGAAGAGTGTCGTTTTTGGCAGCTCTCCTATGATTATTATATTAAAAATTTCTTTTGCCAGGATGCTTGGCAGAAAGGAATCTTTATTTCACCAGAATGCTTGGTGGAAAAATTACCAGAAAGCCATTTTTAAATATATATTATTTGTCTAAAATTTTATTATAGTATAAAAAATTGTGTTTTTTTTCTTTTGGTCACATCTTTGTCATTTGAACATCATTTCTCATTGGATAATTTATTGGTCTAGATTAAAAGGCTGTGAGAGCCTTCCTTGAACTCTATTGGGCCTGCTTTACACAGAGATATAGAAATTTAGAACTGGTAAGGAGGTAGAGATTATCTAAGTTAATATCTATTTTACCACTGAAGACTTACACATAGAACCATTAGAACAATTCCTGGCACATGGTAAGTGCCAAAGAAATGTTAGCTACTATTGGTAGTAGAATTTGGACCCAAGTCAATTGACTTTTTTTTTCACTTTATTTTATTCGGTGAGATTATTACCTTTGATTTCTTGACTGATTCCATGAGGATTCTGACTTATTTCTGCCATGGGTTTATAATTTGTTTGTGTTTTTAGGGTTGTGTTACTTTTTATAAGAAGAAAGTAGCAATATCCATTTAATAACACATTTTCTAAGGAAGAACCTGATATTCTTTGCTTTAATCAACCTTTCTTTTCTCTTTTCAGAGGACGTTAAGCAAGTTTTTGGACAGACCACAATTCATCAACATATTCCGTTTAACTGGGATTCAGAGTTTGTGCAGCTGCATTTTGGAAAAGAAAGAAAAAGACGCCTGACATATGCGGAATTCACTCAGTTTTTACTGGTGGGTCTAGCTCTTAGAAAGTTAAAAAGAGTAAATAAGTAAAACTGGGATCCTGATTTATTTCCGACTTTCCAACCCTGGCCAAACCATCCTATTTGGAAGTATTTATTAGTATGTACAAACCATAGGATTAAATGGGCTCTTACAGACTGTGTAGAACCTCTTCATGTTTAAAAGGACTACACATTGAGGCCCCAGGAAATCAACTGATTTGCTGAAAAGTCACATAAATCAGGAGGGGCAAATTTGGAACTTGAACTCTTGGCTTATGATTGGTTCCACTACTGTTTACCGATATTTTGTTTTCCTTGAGAAATGGCCAGATGTCATCACCAGCATTTAACCATGGAATCATTTCACCAGAGGCTTTTTATAGACCAGGCACTGGGGTCTGGAACTTGACTGCATACTGGAGTCACCTGGGGAGCCTTAAAAACCATTGTTGCTTGGGTCCCTCACCTCTAGAGATTAGATTTGATGGGGTGGAGGGGGCAGGGACAGCCTAGGCATTGGGATATTTAAAGCTTCCCAGGTGCTTCTAATGTGCAGCCAAGTTTGAGAATCACTGTTCAAAGAGCGCTTGCTGTCCATGTCGAGGGTTAAACTCTGTGGGAGTTGTCTACATTTCTGGGGTGCACCTTCCCTGGCCCAGTCTCTCCTGCCTTTCTCTCTGCACCTCCCTCCCCCAATAATGGTCATATCATTGGGCCACTGATGATGCCAATGGAAGAGTAGTAACAAAATACGATTCTAGTTTAGTTTTCCTCCTGAAGCATAATTTTAAAAATGTTTTAATTCCAATATTAACATTTAGTCACTAAAGGTCAATATCTATATGATATGTAGGCCTGTATGATAAACCACTCTTTCTTTGGCATTTTTATGCATTTGTTTTGTTTTAACATATTTATATATTTTATAAAATATATTTGTTTT